ACAAAGCCCCAATTCTGTGCAGCTGGTTTGGATAATCCAACCTGAATATTTCCTGATTTCAAGAACCTTTGACCAAAGGCCAGTCTCCTTAAGAATATGTTAATTATGTCAGTTTCACTTTCCACTGTATTTTTGGCTAACATTTCATCAGTCTTCCTTTAGGACAGAGTGAGTAAATTTTAGTGGCTGAAGGTTGCAACGAACAATTTAGAGGACTGCAATGGAGGGGAATATAATGCAATCTGTGTGGGCCATTTTTTTCCATTTCCCCTGGATTTTTTTTTTTTTTTTTTTTTTTGGAGCAGTCTCCCAAAGATTTCTGCCAATTTTCAATCTCAGTATTTTCATGTATTTCTAATCTCAGAATAGTGAGCAAGTGACCAATCTTCAGCGATTATGCTAAAAAAGACTGTTGTGGAACGCTATAAAAAGTCCTGCTTTAACATTACTTGTTATCCTCATCCATTCCATCAGGGAAAAAGATTATTCTCAACTTCTTTCTTCATAGGGGTATTTGACTGCAAACATGTCTGTATCTGAAAATGGTAGGCACATTCTTTATCTTTCCAATTCTCTGAAATAGGCCTGAGTTGCTGTACATGTAATCCTTGATTTACGACCAGTTGCTTAGCAACCATCCAAAGTTATGATAGACACCCCCAGAAGTTTCTTAGGACCTAATTTTGAAGTTATGATGGCCATATCTGCTATGGTCCCATAGTCACATGAGTGCTTGGCAACCGTCTTAGCTTTATGGCAGTTTGCAGCATCCCATGTCATGTGACCATACATTTAATAATATGACATTTACTTTTGGATTTCCAGCAAAAAATGGCTATTGAGTAAAAAAAATTCACCTAACTGCTGAAAAATTGTAAAATCAGATGTAGTCACATGGTGACTCCACTTAACCACTATGACTTAATTCCAGGCTTAGTTATGGTCGTAAGTATATATGTTTGTCCAAATCTTACCAGCATGGTTAGACGCTGAATTTGTGCAGGATTTCTTCTTTGTAGTCATATGTATCATGGAGTTGCCTAATGCAGTTATGTCAAATTTGATAAAGAATATCTTTCCAAGACTGGCCCAAATCCAGGACTGGAGGCAGCCCTTTTTTTATGAACCTAGTATAAACCCTAACCTTTGGCTGCTCTTAACTGAATGTTTATTGAGCATGAACTAGTATAAAGATTATATTTTGTTTACGAAAAGAGTAGACTATTAGAATTATTAAGAATCATGAAAAGTCAAAGGCAACAGAGATCATGTCAATTTTTTTTTTCTCTATTCTTTCTCTTGAACCATTAGATTTGTTTATTCTGTTGGAAGAAAATTCTTTGGTCTGTTTCCAAGGTAGATGCAAAGAAACACACTGGGCAACATGCTTGAGGCAGAATATGACTTTTAAATTTACAACATAACAGACAGTACAGCTCCTAAAGATGGCCACAGATTGAATGGCATAGACAGCGATATTTATATAAAAGCATGTTCTTCATGAGTTTTGTGGATGTGCTTGCAAAGTTGCTGCTAGTGGGAAGAAATACATTTTTTTCACCCTGAAGGGTACATTAATCCTTAATCTTTTTTGTATTGGGATGTTGTATTTGGGGTAAGGGATTTGGTGTTGGGTATTGTCTCTGTGTGGTTAAAAGATTTATGTCTTGAAGGGATTTATTTTAGTTATGATTAAGAAATCAGAGTTTGTCGATTTCTTAATGGGAAACATGCTTTGTTAATTTCAGCCTACATTTCAATATAGGCGGAAAGGCTTAGGGACACTTTTGATAGTTTGCCAGTTCTTAGTGGATCAGGGGAAGCCTAATTCTTGGGAAAGGAATTGGTTGGTCAAGAGAGGGGTGGGTCATACAGGGGGCACCTGGATTTTTTGCTCCACAATACATTGTTTTAACTTCAAAACTATCACTCATTTTTGGACCCAATTAGTTCACGATGACCTTCAGATTGCCTTGTGTGTCTTTAACAACATTCTTGCCCTTTGTATTTTGACAATTAAGTGTGTGGAAGTTTTTGAAGCAAGTCCTATATCAACCATTTCCATTCATGCCCTACACATCTCTGAGAGATGTAAAAGTTGCTAGAAAAGCCAAAAGCCAACATAAAGTGTATTTAATAATACTTAAGCTGTTAATATGATTTCTTTTGTTTTGCATTCCAAAATTTTATCTGCTGTTAAACAAAGTTTTCAGTCAACATTTCATTCCTGTGCATTTCATATTTTTGTTTAAAAAATCCAAAATACCGATCAATTTCTTGTACAAAGTGGGACCCTCTTTAATTTCCTTTTTCTGCTATGCCATTTTCTACTAAATTTCAAATATAAAAAAATTATCTAACCGGTTTTAGAATTAGTTTGATAATTCTGATATATTGTATCTGGTTTGGTTTTTCTGTTTATATAATAGCACATAGTAACTTTTTCCAGCACTTTCCCCACATAAAAAAATAAGTAAAAAAAGCAATAGTATAACTTAGAATTGCATTATGCTCAGGAGCACATGGAAACTGATTCCTAGGAAGCTCTGCCATAAAGAGTTAACCCAAGTAAACTCAAATGGACAAGTTGGGTCATATTTTCTCTGCAAGTGAGATAGTTTCCTGACAAGATATGAGGCCTACTTGGATTCCCTCCCTCCCTTTCACTTTTGGCTTAGCTCCAAAATAACTAGCTACCTGATTAATCAGGTAAGAATCAATTTGCTACACATATATTGTAAATATTGTTCTGTATTACTCCTGATAAGGTTTAGAAAAGTGTGCCCTTAAAATAGTAAAATTCAATTTCACTAGTATGTTATTTTGTTATTTTCTACTTTGATATTTATTTTTTCTTCTTAATAGCTTTTATTGTTTTCTGTTGGATATAGAAGACCCTTTAATCCTGTTTATGTCCTATTGCAGGCATGTCAAACTCAAGATGTCACGTGACATATTGGGACATTTTCCCTATTGCCGGTAATGGGGTGGGTGCGGTTTTGACGTGACGCATCTGGCCTACAGGACGGCAGTTTGACATGCCTGCCCTACTGGATCTGTAGATAAGATTTTTCATAAATTTGATACTAAGATATCTCATTATTGTAGCTTTTAAACTATATGACTGGACAAAATGTTAAGGAAACATGTCAATGGAGATTTTCAATCATCTAGGTCATAGTTGTCTCAAAAGGCAACTGAACTTTTTTTTCCTTGAGGAAGACATTTCACTTCTTATCCAAGAAACTTCATCAGTTCTGGCACAATGGTGGGGGTGATGGATTAATTGTGACAGGATGTGGCAGGGGGGTTGGAAGAATATTTCTTTGCAGTCATCTGGTCTTTAGCACTGAGAGCTCTTGAGGCCACTTAGTGGGGTAGTCTTCTCCAATAATCATTCAGATATGATAGTTTATAATCTCACAATCTATTTGTTGGTTGGCAAATGACACATTACATGGTTTTCAGTAGAAATCTGAAGTTTGTTTTCATTGTATTTCAGTAAAAGGTTATTTAAATTAGAATGGAAAATATGCATGTATTTATATTTTGAGGAGTTTCACTTACCCTTGAGAGTACCTCCATCCTTGGTGCTTGTACTACTCCAGTCATGTCAAACTTGCAACGTCCTGTGATGTTGCGCAATGTACTGGGCCAGTTTTGCCATTGTCGGCAATGGGGTGGGCACGGCTTACATGTGATACGTCTGGCATACCCCTGTACTACTTCAAGCTCAGGTGACCTTACCATATTTCCGTTATTTGTTTATTCATTAGGAACTGATCTCAGTAACATCATTGGGCTTCTAAGGAGTTTTAGGGGTGAGGTGGAATCTGCTATTGGTCCTTCAACCACCTCCACAGTGAAACTCCCTCATTGGGGCCCCAAGCCAACTGGCAGAGCCAGGTCTTCAGGCCCTTATAGAGGATCAGGAGGGGGGAGGAGAAGATCTCATGGGGGAGGGAGGCAAGGTATTTCAAAGGTCAGGAGCCATTACATTAATATATTTTTGAAAATTACAATTGTAGCTTTATATATTCCTCATATATAACTTCATTTTCAAAAAAACTTAGAAAAAAGGAAAATAATGCACTGAAGATTGCTATAATAGAAAATTTATTTAAAAGCCGATAAAAATTTAACCTTATACTTAGTGTCATGTTCATACAAATAGTTACAGCTTAGATTAACTGTTTACAATTTATTTCTCACTTCTTCAAAGAACTGACAGATAAGAATAGACATTTTATTTCAAATGGAATGTGATGGCTATACCACACAAAACACAAAAATAAAACAGCATTTAGAAAATAAAAGTTATCAAAAGTTTTGATAAAAATGGCTCCTTTGAACAAGATTCAAGATACTGACTTTATACAATTTTCAAGCAATATTATTTCAAATTCATTCAGTTATAGTAGACACTAGCAGCTGAAGAAATTGAATGACAAGAATTCTGTGTAAACTTTAAACACATGCACAACTAGCCTGGATTGAAGTTTACTATAACACTCTCCCAAAATGTATAGGTATTTTGAACCCAAAACACAATAGGATTCCATAGAAATCAGCATCAATTTTGGCAAAGGATAGCATTTAAACAAAGACACACAGTATTCAAGTAGTTAGGAACTGAGTGCAACTCCAATGGCCATTTACCTTTGTGTTCAAATCATTTAAATGATAACTTAATTTCACTGTAACATAAATAAGATCCATATATAATTATTAAATACCCCTACACCAGTGGTTCTCAACCTTTTTAATGCCGCGACCCCCAACCGGTCGTAAGTCGAGGACTACTCAACTGGTCGTAAGTTGAGGACTACTCAACTGGTGCAGCACCGTTTGCAGAATGGGACTTTTGGTGGGCTCAGCAGGGCAGAGACAGCCTGGACAATTCCTATTGGCTTTTGAAAGCCAATCAAATTAGACTCTATTCAAGAGAGTCTATTCTATTGGCTTTCGAAAGCCAATAGAATAAAAGGGAGTAGCACAGCTAAGGAAAAGGGGGGAAAAAAATGGCGGACTGCGTTGTTTGGCGACCCCCGTGAAATGGTCGTTCGACCCCAAATGGGGTCCCAACCCACAGGTTGAGAACCACTGCCCTACACAGAATTCTACAGCAAATGAACAAAAAACTTTATGCTTATGAATTTTTAAAGCTTGAAATGGTATCACCTTAACCACTTGGCCTTGCTAGAGGGGGTCAGTCTGCCTCTATCACCAAACTCTTAAGAGAAGATGCTGAAACCTGGTGATGTAACATAGGCGGCTTGGTGGATATCAGAAACTGTCTAGCAAATAATCTGACACATTAGCAGAGGGAGTGCTGTTTACTAGTTTGCTTAAATAAGGAATTTATTTTGGACCAGGATTACTGTACATAAAGCCAGGTTAAACAGTCTGGGCATTGTTGAACTTTTTATGCTACAACTATCGTCTGCATAATAGTACGGCAAATGATAGAGGATGATGGAAGTTATGAACCGAACCTCTTCCAAAAAGAGGTGTGCCTGGAGTCTATTTCCCATCTATAAAAATGGTAAGGACATAGATTGTACTGTATGCCTCAAACACTAATAAAGACGGGAATTGGAAACTTCCCTTATGTTTTATCCTGTAGTTTGTTCTAGTTACTACCAGCTAATACTCTTTGTTTAAATATTAAACGTTAGTTTAATGTTGTAAGTATCTCAACATACATGCCACACATGGCTATAGCACTGTGCACTCAAGAATGGCTGAAATCTAAACAATTGTTTTCCATTCATCTGACAGCATTGGTATAAATAATAAATAAATATCTAGTACTGAAGTCCAAATTCAAGATTCAACAATTCTGACACTATAAATATTAAATATGCTAATAAATTAAAACTCATTAACAAACTATTAAAAACTGATCACAGTGATATTTCATCAAGGAAAGAAGAGCTTGAGTGAACTGGGAACTTGCCATCTTAGGAAGAATACATTTCATTGCAACATATTTGATATGTGAAAAGAAATCTTTCCATTTTTCTTACAAGTTAATCATTATCAGTCTTAAACAACTGAAGTTTTAATCGTAGTAGCCTCTCAAGTGGTGAAAGATCTCTGAAAGATTCTGAAGGCAAATTGTCCAATTTGCATGTACATGTAAGATGTTCTTCTCTCAATACCATATCAATAGTTGTTTGAAGTGAAGGCTAATCTATAAAAATTTAAACAGTTTTAAAACAAATTATAATTTAACCCAGTGTTTCTCAACCTCAGCAACTCCAAGACTTCAACTTTCCTCAGAGGCAGAATTGCTGAGGCTGAGAAACAGTGACTTAAGAGAATGGAGTGTTCACAATATAAAAACAAGGGTTTGTTTTTCACAACATGCTGAATCTCAAGCAACCCAGCTCCACTTTAGTCTAATGTAAAATGTTGTACAAACCCTAATATTTTTATTTCTCTTAGAGCTAAATGTATCAGGATTACTTTATTTGTCTCCTACTTTCAGTAAAATGGTGCATAAAAATTTAAAATAAATTAAAAACAAAGACAGAGGAGTTGGAATTCTACCCGTCAGAGCAGTCTTGTCAGGCAAAAGCAAGTCTTAGGACTTCCTTCTGTGTAGAGAAATATTTCAGCTTCAAGGTCTTTGGTGAGAATTCTCCATTCCCTTTATGTGCTACAGTGCCTCAGGGCCCGGAAAATCATATCCATAAATAGCTGGAGTTTGCGGAGAACCAGGTAACTTCCAATTTCTCTTTGAACTTCCACAAATTTAGGCTCATTTTCTGCCTGTGGATAGATAACACTGGTCAGGCTGCTTTCTTCCATCTGAAAAAAAGATTGGGGAAATTGAGGAATCTCAGATTAATCATTAACATTTGCATATTAATTCCAGCAGTATCCAAATTGGCCAGCATGTTACTCTTGGATCAATCCTATTGCAGCCAATGTTATCACTATCATATTCCCCCCCCCCCCAAAGTCCTCTTCAATGACCTTATTTTAACAAATAGGCTGCATGTATGTCATGGCAAGGGGTAACGGGATGTAATCCAGCAGGGAAAAACATGGTCCCAGCCTCCAGAAAAGCAGAGAGAAGTATTTTTGCTCCATAAAGAGCAATGGGTCAAGGGATATGCTCATAAATACATCTTTGAGCTGGTGCAAGCAAAATAATGCACCCAGATATATTTACTTCCTCGTGCATACACGCATCTCTACACTCTGCTCTACCACAGTTAACAATTTTATAAGGCATGCTTGAGAATTGCCTCAGCTCAGAGGGAGCACTTTGTATAAGTTAGGATTAATACATGAACAGGAAAAATGCTCATATCATATAGAGTTCAGTACAGTAGAAAGGTGTGCAAAAGCCAGGCACTAAGATTATCCACAATATGAAAAGCAATGATCTTAAGTATTTATTACTTTGAAATTTATGCTTACAAAATGACAAAGTCAAGGTTTCTTCCTTTTATAAGACTGGATATACAACTGTTCAACAAGTAATGATAACAGAGGTTATTCCTGAAGATGACGTGGAGCTAGAAATTTTAAAAATCTTCCTGCAAAGCCCTTTTGGCTGGCTGGGGGGGGGGGTATCAAGAACCCCCCCCAAAAGGAAAAAATGGGAAAGTATAGGTAGTCCTCGACTTACAACAATTCGCTTAGTGACTGTTTGAAGTCATGTGATTTACATTCGGATGCTTGACAACTGATTCATATTTATGACGTTCAGTGTCCCAGGGTCACATCATCAATGACCCTGGGGATGCTACAACAATCATAAGTGTGAAAAATGATCATAATTCACTTTTTCAGTGCTGTTGTAACTTCAAACAGTCACTAAGCCCTGTGTTCAATAGCAGGAAAAACCTAATGGCTTTCCCTTTCACAGCTATTGTGATTCCAGAAAAAAATAGTCTTGCAACTGATGCTATACTCATGCTCCATGTATCCTTTGGAAACTGAATCTAAAGTACTCTTCAGTGCTCATATCTGCAATTTTTAGAAGCTTACCTTCATAGTTCATTATAGCTCATCAACATTCACCAAGACATTGCTAATGTCCAGGTAGGTGACCTGCTAAATTATTATAGCAGATTCACACTCATACCTATACTAAACATTTTTTTGATATACCTATAGAACTGGATAGTTTCTCCTACTTGGCTCTGATCCTTTCTCAACTTAATGAGTTATTTATGCAACTCCTCACCTGTTGTTGAATGTTGTGGGACAAGTTGGAAATATCCAGCTGAATACCATGTACTTGGTCAGCGTAAGTTACTAAGATTTGGTGAATATATGAGAGATAACCAGAATAGGTTTGGAGGCCTGCCTGTACCTGATTGAAGCATCTTTCCTACATGATACAAATGTAATAGGGAATGAAGAAAAGTTATTATGTATTCCATTCTTATGCAAATTTCAGTAAAATTTTTATTTTATTACACTGGTGCTGTACAACTTGTGTTGAGAGACAAGTTGAGCTCTGTTCTCCAGAAAGTGGACACGGTTATTGAAATTATGAATAATGTTATTTCCACAATAAAATGTACATATATTCTGAAAACAAACCCAGTTTTGCTGTGCCACAATTAAAGGCTATATTAATTATAACTGAGGTTAGAGGTAAGGAAACAGTGACACTACTCAGGATGAAATGTTAGATTTGGCTTAATATGGATAAATATGGATGATTTCTATTGTTGTAAATTAAGCAATGAAGGGTAAGCAGATTAAAGAGTGACTCTATTTCTGTACCATTTTAAGCTATGACCAGCCAGTATATACTAAGAATAGATTAACAGTAGAAAAATTAAGTTATAAAAGATAGCAGCCAGAAAAACATGGTTTGAATAAATATACATTTTAATTATTAAACAAAATCTATCTATATGGTCGCTGTAGATTTCCATACACTACACTTGAATTTATAGCCCTTAAGAAATATTTATTGGATAGGGGAATTTTCTCTATCAGTGATGTTTACCTATTTTGTAATATTCTTCTCTGGAGATGTTGGATATCCCAAGATTATCCAACATCTGGATAATATTGGATAGATAGGTAAAATATGAACACTCTGAAACTAATGTCTGCTTTTTTTTTAAAAAAAAAATATCCATCTAGACTCAATCTCAGAGCAGATTTTTAGAACTAGAACATGAGCGTGGCAAAGTAATATTAGAATAACTGCATTGCTGTCTTCATTTATTACTGTTTAGGTTTGCCTGTTCACCTTTTAAGGAATAACAAAGATTTCAAAGTTGAATATGATACCAGCAGTGCTAATGCCATATTTAAAGTAGGCATCCATCAAGAAGTTATCTGTACTTATGCACTTTATAAGAAGGTTGTCAAATATTACGCTTGATGCATGTGTATTATCAGTCAAAACCTCATTAAAAAGGTTGGTTATATTTAAGACGATTAGGATTAGAAAAAAGATGGGCCAATGACAATGTGGCTATTTCATCTCCAGTGAAATCAAGCTACTGAGTTAAGTGATTACTGATATTACATGGATCTACAGTAAATGGTACATATTCTTATTATGAGGAATGTGGAAAAAACTTGACTGAATAGAGGTAACAAGAGAGTTTATATAGCACATTCACAGACAAGGTAGGTATTTGAAGGACCAAGTACCATTATTGGCTTAAAATCAATATTGCTTTATTTCTGCTTTTGTATCTGATTATGGATAATATAATGTCCGTGAGTGTCTTTGTACATATGCAAACTGTTAATTATTAAAATAGGAAAAGATCCTCCTGAGCAACAGTACAGGTCCTGTCTTACCACATTCTGTTTTAAAGGTATTTGTTTTCCTTCAGCAAAAATAAAAAAATGAGAAAGAGGCATATAATAAAGCAAAGTATTAGCTTTTTAGCATTATCTTTGCTTACAAATACGCCTGTGAGAATCAAATAGTTTCCAAAAGCATTTTTAAGAAATTAAAAATGGTTGGTGGCTAAAGTCTTCTGAAACAAAAAACAATTACCATCTAGAAAAAGAGCCAGTCTGGATAAAAAAAGGATCCTAAAACATAAAGGGGCGATTAAGAAATATCCTAACCAGCTTACTTATAAGAAAGGATACTTAGCCAGTCATGCTGGCTGGAGAATTCTGGAAGTTGAAGTCCATATGTCTTAAATTTGCTCAGTTGAGTCTAAGCAGCCGTTTTACAAACACCACATACAGAACCAATTTGTGAGAACACTACAGATGCACCTAAAAATCCCAAATATTGCCACGATTGATTTCTTTCAAAGTTATGTGCTGCTACCCTAGTACTTCTTAGGTTGAGGAGAAAAATTGTTTTAGGTTTACAATCAGATTGGTGTTGCTATTTACCATATCACAGGGGTCCTGTTGGCAATGGGAGATATTAACTTGTTGAATGCCCAAGAGTTTCTCTATTGTTATCAGTTCTCTGTTACTGCCAAAGCTGAATGCTTTACGCTGGAGGAAAAAAAGAAAAGATAATTTGAAGAGGTATTTCTGCAATTCCCAAAAGGAGCAAACATATATGAGTGCTTTTATATCTTTACTCCCTACAAAATCCTTCCCTAATCCTATTTTTACTATACTTCAAAATCCAATGAAGCTCCAAAGAAGCTGAGCAAGGTTTAATATGTACTTATTAAAAGAATGCATATTAACTTAGTTATATGAATATAAAGAATTTAATGGTAGGCCTGATATGCAAATAGCAGTATGGAAAAGGGCTGAATGATGCTGCATTCTGACACAGCAGATACTTGAAGCTCAACATTTAAAATTTCCCACCAAATTTCTAAATCTTTAAACAGGATGCTTTAAAGTGCATGAGTAATGTCTATGGAAATCTCAGAAGCCAGTGAGAACTGTTGGATATGACTTCCAGAGATTAGGAGGTTTTGACTGCTCTTTACTGTATATCTTTTCATCTTCCTCGTGATTAGCAAATTATGCTCTCTACAATAGAGAGTTGAATACATATTTATTAACCCGGAGCTAGACAGTGAAAACCAATCAAACTTAATGTTAGCTGTGATTAAGGTAATTTCTTCACTAATAGCTTACAGCATCTGCCTGTTTTCGGTCCAGCCATTGTTGGACCGAAAACAACAGTAATGAGAACTTTAATATTGCTTCAACAAAATCTGACTGATTTTATGAAAGTACCAGAAGTCAGTGGAGAAATGATCAAAAAATCCTTCTGGATTCATTGAGGTTCCCTGAAGTATAATACAATGAAACCTGATTCATCCTTTAAAACTGAGTGAAACTTGGCACAATTTACAATGAAGACAGGATTTAGGATTATTCTTAAAATAAAGGTTAAATTTTACCTCTGAATTTATAGTTCTATTCACCATAAGCTACTCTTACATTAACCACTATCCACACTATCCAAACTAAAAAATTGTTACTGTATTTAAAGGCCTGCAAAGGAGCATCAAACAGTTAATTTCACTCCCTTAAATTATCTCTCTTTGTATTCAGTAAGCCTTAATTACACTATCTTTTATATTAATTTGACAGATTCAATCAAAATATTCCCTCTCAACACCCAAAGAGGAAGAATGCCAAATTTTCTGGCTTGTTTGCAAACAATTTTCTCCTTTGACGTTTTACATTTTGAATTGGCACAATCTTACATGTATTCCGGAAGCATGAGACAGAAACATTTGTGTAATTTTAGTCGGGAGAGCCCCTGTTCACAGTTCTAGGAAATGCTATATGAGATTAAGACTCTTTGGAAGATTAAGCTGTAATTTATGGGAAGTACTAGAAAAGGATCTGAATGATGTCCCAAGTATTTTAATCTGAAATTTTCAGCCCAATTTGAATTTTGATTTTCTGTGTGTATAGTGATCTAATTATTTTAGTCTATAACTTTTCTCAGTCATGTCATATTGCAGGAGAAGATATTTTGGCACCATGGACATTAAGTTACCTCTAAGTAACACTCTTCATATCCTCTAGATTTTCAGTAATTCTAAATTTAAACCCTATGCTCTGCAGATGTTGTTGGACTTTAACTGCTGGCTTCCTTCATTATAGCTGTTGAAAGCTGAAATTCAACATTGGCAGGACTACTAGTTTTCCACTCCCACAAGGGGTTGGGTGGGTTGGTAGGTTGTTGACCAAATTCAACACTTGTATTGAAGGCCCATGTGGTTTTATAACATGAAGCATCTACTAACTAAAAAAGGATGTAGCATGGTCATAGTTATAATCAGGTATCCTAACTGATCTTCAGATTAATACTTCAGTTTCTTTGTTCAAGAATGCAAGAACATCTACAGAAGATATCAGTTGTAAAGCAATAACTAGTACATCTAAATGCACACTGAAAGCACATCATCAAAAATATTAATGGTTTAAAGCCATATCTGAGTTACCTTATCTCATATGTCTTTTATATTACTCAGATTCTTTCCCAAATCCTCCCTTATTTAAAATTATGCATTGATTTAAGTACTGATTTAAAGGATATTTTTAGCTTTGATATTCTATGAAATACCATGTCAGCGGAAGAAAATCAGAACACTTCAAAATTGGTATTTCAATAGATTTGATATGACAACTTTGTTCCCTTCCACTATTCATTTTCCACTAGACTGAAATTCTGCTGTATCACTGCAGTATAATAGGGATAGTTTATGAATTTTAATTAATTGCAAAATAGGATTTCATCTAGCTATATTACACTCAAATTCCTTAATTTCTGAGTTTTCATGGCCAATAACCATACTGGCTTGGAAATCTGGAAAATGTAATCCCAAATGCAAGTCTCCAGGTTTAAAAAAATTGACTTAAAACTGAATATTAGAAGAAAAAACTAAAACCACCAAGACTGCAGCTATATGTCTACTTTATCTGCATCCTTACCAATATAGCTGGCAAACATTTTAATCAAAGTACCCTAAAGAATCAATATAGATTACTGGTTTTCCTCTCCCACTACAGATTCTTTACTTTTTGTTGGAAAGAAACTTGATATGCAGCAATTTAATACATGATTGACTCAAAAGCCGATTCATAAATGCTCATAGCATACCTCCAAATCCTTTAAAATAACCTGAGAAATTTGGCTGACAAATTATGTGTATCTCTTTGTAGATTTCTTTACCCAGCATATACTTACCACAAGCTCATTCAATGCAAGGAGATCAGTCTTTATTCTGATGACAAACTCCTTATTTTTCGAAACAAACTGGTGCAAACCAGGATCTCCAGAAAATTCTGCATGAGGTGCAGCTGAGCACATTAGCCAAGAAAGTGCAATACTGACAAGAAGAAGACCACCTGGGAAAATAAAATAATATACACAATAGTGAGGACCGCTCTATGAACTGCACCAAAATATCAGCCGGCACTAAGGTCTAAAAGACTGAAACCATTATTAGACAGTTATGATTATCATTTATCAGCTCCAGCCTACCGTCTTCACTTATGGCCTCCCTTCTGGCTTTTTTTTTTTTTATTAAGTAAAAGTGGATCTGAAGGGACGCCGCTCAACTCTCCATAGCTCGAGCCAAGAAGAAACTCTAAGGTAGCTGAACGCAAGTGGGTGGAAAAGTGATTCCGTCAGAATTAAATCTATCATTCTAGCCAGCACGTGCAACAAACTCAGTGAGACTCAGCCCAGAATACGGGTCTGCAGCTTTCGTTTCCCAACCTTTCCAAGTCGGGGGCGACTCTATCACGTGGCAACGCTGTTTATTTCAATCTTTGGCTTCGCCTGACGTGAGTCCCCGCAAGAGTTACGGCGGGTTTTTCAAAACCCAGTTGCCTAGCTCGTTTGAAAAAGGTGAAAATGGGCGTCTCAAAGCTTGTTAAGCATTCCTGAAAGTGGTGCTAAGGAGGAGCGGTTGTAAAGGGAAGCCGGGACTCATCCTCCTTCCTTCTCTCTGCCGCAAAAGTGGGCAATAGTTCCAAAGGCGGCGGGAAAGTTCTCCGGGGAGCCCTCGCCCCGAAGGACGCCAAAAAGCCGCCCTTCCCGAGCAAGGCGCCACCACGAGGAAGCTTACCCTCTCGTCTCGGGCTCCGCCCGGCCGCGACGAGGAAGGACCTGCCCCGAGAGCTACTTACTCCGTGTTGAACTCATGCTTTTTGCAGGAAAACCTTTGGTCTCGCCCACTTTCTTCGAAAACGACGTGCTGGTGATACAGGAGGCTACAAGCGAGCGGGTGCCTAGGTTGCTGTGAATCAAACTGTTCTCCATTGGGGTTATTTATAGGGAGAACGATTCGGGAACTTCCTCGGACGGTGAAAGGAGGGAGGGGCACTGGAGACTAATTGAGAGGGGTGGTTTTAGGCTATGACTCTCACATTTTTTTGGTTTATGCACTAATTACGGTAAATTCAAAATCCACTGGATGTCCTTGATCAGGGTAGGGGCGGGGAGCTGGAGGTGATGAGGGTCTGGAGCTTTTCTCCTTTTCCCACGTGTGAAATAGTTTCACAAGTAACTCTGGGTTTGTTTAATTGAAACCTTAAAGAATTCACAACTGGTTCCAACATTGGTACAATCTTTTGTGGTCTTTTAAAACTTTATTGGAGTTATTGAAGATTTTGTTCTTTTAAAAAAGAAAGCCCAATAAGGAGTTTAAGCTTCATGTTTGAAAATAATTTTATGGAAAATAAAGGCAGTAACAAAATGCGACTTTTTTTTTTTAAAAAAAGTTTTGTCTCCTTATTTAATTTAAAGAGTTTATAACTAGGAGATCATGTTTTTTCCCAACCTTCCAGAGGCATTTTATTTCTCAGATTTTGGGTCCATCTTCCCTCATATATTTCTTTATACCTTTCCATTATTTATTTACTCTAGATCCATGGATTGGTTCCAGAATTACAACAGTCTTATCGGAATAGGGCTTGACAAACAAAAAACTCATTAATCTTAATAGCCCTACGCAATGTATGGCAAAATCTGATCAGGATTCAACAATGACTGGTATTAAACAGGAAGAAATGAGATTCTGAAATCTGCTTAGTAAAAATAAAAGGCATGAGTAAGATATGGAGACTTGATACAGTAGTACATGTGAAACAGATCTAGTGTCTTATCAACCCCAAGTTCCCAGAGCATCCAGACTGATTCAGCTACCTGAAAAGATAAATGCTACCTTGGGGCAGCATAGAGTCCGTGTCATGAGGAGTAATTGTTTCATTCTACTGGGTCCTGCTTAGACTTCACTTGGCATATTGTGTTCTATTCTGGGCACCAGTTTTAAAAAAAGATGAAGGACAAATTCAGCCAGTTCAAAGGATGGCTATTAAGGTTTGTGAAGAGTCTGGTGTCTAAATCCCATCAAGAATGGCTACAGGATCTGGGTGTGCTTGACCCACAAAAGAGATGACTTGTGGGAAGGTCAGATAGCAGTTTACAAATATCTGAAGACTTGTCATATACAGGTAGTCCTTAACTTACAGTTGGTTGCTCAGCGATCATAGTCACAATGGATCCGCCAAAAGATACAACCCATTCCAAAGTTCTGCCAGCTGTCTTCCCCCATATGATCACATGGCCATATTTCAGGTGCTTGGCAACCAGCCCTGCAGGCATGTGAATGCAATTTATATCATTTTCACCAAAAGACAAGGTTTACTTTCAGTTTTTAGCAAAAATGCCCCATGGTGAATGATGAGTTCACTTAATGCCCACAGCACTGATTGACAACTGCTATAAAGATTGTAAAACTGTGTTGGATATAGTATGACCTGCTGCATAATGGGTAGGCTCTGTTACGGTCATAAATTGAGAACTATCAGCAGAAGAATTGGATTAATTCTGTGTTGCTTCAGAAAATAGAATAAGAAGTAGTAAATTAAAACTACAAGGAAGTAACGTTCAGGCTAGAAAGCAGGAAGAACTTCTTGAATATACAAATTGTGAGCCAGCAGAGCAGGCTGCTACTTGAAGTGAGGACCTCTCCTTTGAAGATGTTCAGAGATTGGATATTTATGTGTCAGAGGTGCTCTGGTGAATTCTGCACTGAACAAAGGTTTGGACTAAATCTCTAATATTCATTTCATCTCTATGGTTCTATGCAGATTTCACACATCATCACTATTACTTCTCCAAACTTAGTTTACCCTCTGATAACGAGCTGAACTGAAAGCACGGGTAGCCCTCAACTTATGACCCCAACTGAGCCCAAAATTTCTGTTGCGAAGTGAGACAGTTGTTAAGTGAATTTTGCCCTATTTTACAACCTTTCTTGCCACAGGTGTTAAGTGACTCACTGCAGTTTTTAAGTTTGTAACACGGTTGTTAAGTGAATCTGGCTTCCCCATTGACTTTGCTTGTCAGAAGGTCGCAAAGGGTGATCACAAGACCCCAGGACATTCCAACCGCCATAAATGTGAGTCAGTTGCAAAGCATCTGAATTTTGATCACATGACTATGGGAATGCTGCAGTGGTTCATGAATGTGAAAAATGGCCATAAGTTTTTTTTTCAGTGCCTTTATAACTTCGAATCGTCACTGATTGAACTATTTTAAGTCGACTAATAGTTTGAAAACGGAAAAGTTAGACAGGTCCTTGAGCATATCTTTTCTTCATATAGTCTCACAGTGATCAATCAGAAGCAAGTAGAACTGATGCTGGTGAAGATTCATTAGAACGTAGAAAGGATGCATCCTGAAGGATGCATACTGTACCTCCCATCAACATGATAGTTCTCTGTTCTCTGCTATTTGTATCCTCCAGATATGACTTCTGACCACGTTTGTGGATAGCACTATCTAGGAGGAATATAGGTATATAATAATTAGACATATATCCAGATGCACATACAAGTGTCTACATACGTTAGACGTATATTTATTTATTTTATTTATTATAATATTTATATCCCACCCTTTATTTCGGAGTTCAGGGTGGTGCACAACAGTCCTTCTTTCTTAATTTTCCCCACAACAGCTATCCTGTGAGGTAGATATTCTGGATGTCATAAAGCTTAGTTTTAAATGTTTTTTTTCCCACCTCAGCCTTTTTATAAAAGTTCTCCAATATTTTTCAGGGATTGCTGTCATGTATTGCTTTCTTTCATGAGAATGCCTATTTGGGCAAAGAGACATTCTTATAAATAGAGGTAGCTCTGCTCATTTGCTTCCTAATGTAATAGCTTCCTGTTTAATCTAACGAAATCTTTAAATTGATCTTAGTTTCTTCTACTATCATTATGGTCCTATTCAGACGTTCTATTTAGAGACTGCATTTTTAGTATTGCATATACAACCTTGGCAATTCTTAAAATATGTAGACTTCAACTCTAGAATTTCCCAGCCAGTCTCTATACTCTTGTATATATAGATATGGATCTTTTCAAACCAAAATGGTTTTGATCCATCCAATGTGCCTTGTCGACTGGATGGATCTGCAAATATATGGGTTAAAATGGCCAGAAATTAATGATGTGTTTTTCTCTCCTGTATTATCCTTGCAATAGATAACCACGTAACTTTATAATCTGCCCAGAGAATTTTTGTTCTAGAATAGAGTAAAATGTAATAAAATGTAATAAAACAGAATAATATCCCCATCCAGCATTGGATCATTTTAACAGGCAACCTGAATTGATTCCAACTTATGAAGGTTCTTCTTAAGAATGCATGGTGATTAAAACTAAATAATGGCCTGCAGAACAGCTGTTCTTCATTCTTTTTCTATGTATTTGGCTAAGATGTTCCCTACTGTGCCACTTTATACTGTCTATAGTGTCCACTATATACGGTAAGCTTTAGGCTAAATCTACACTATGTTAGTCTAGCTTTAAAATATATTTGAATGTTCATGATTTAACACTTAAATAGTGAACATTGCCCCTTTAATAAAAGAAAACCCTAACCCTGTTTTGTTTCTATTCTCAGTAATTGAAGACCTATAGTGTAGTCATCACTAAGGATTACTAAGGAAGGTGCTTGTTAAGTAAGTCGCACCTGATTTTATGACCTTTTTTGCCACAGTTGTTAAGCAAATCACTACACTTGTTAAGTTGTAAGCTGGCTGGAAAGATTGCAAATGGTCATCACTTGATCATGGGGTGCTACAACTGTGATATATACCTGGCAATTGTCAAGCACCCAAATTTTGATCACATGACTGTGGGGCTGCTGCAACAGTTGGAAGTGTGAGAACCAGCTGTAGGTCACTTTTTTCAGTGCTGTTGTAACTTTGAATGACTTGTTACAAGTTGAGGACTACCTGTAGCTTGCTAGCCTAGCTAAAGTAGGCTTGGGTAGTTTTTATTTATTTATTTGCATCTCACCTTTATTATTTTTATAAATAACTCTAGGCAGTGAACATATCAAACACACCTTCCTCCTCCTATTTTCTCCAAAACAACAGCCCTGTGTGATGGGTTGGGCTGAAAGAGTCACTCAGCTAGCTTTCGTGACTAAAGCAGGACTTGAACTTATGGACTTCCATTTTCTAGACTGGCGTCTTAACAACTAGACCAAACTGACTTGAGAAGCAGTCATTGCCTTAGTATGTTGTGTGAACCAGATCAGGTTATCATATTAAACCATCATATGGTTTCTTTGGCATCAGATTTCATTTATTGCATTGCATTGTACTGCACTATATTATATACTATTTTATGTATTGCATTGTACAGTATTTTTACTAAGCCAAATTTACTGCATAGTTAGGTAAGTGAATGCAGTCAATATGTTCTTACCCAGAATTGCTCCAAGCATTTTTGGGCAGAGAAATGCCAATGTTAATTAAAGCATTAGTATTGAGTCCTTGGCGGGAAGCAGACACGAGAAGCAGTTGAAGTTCTCAGTTTCCTTTATTCAGCGTTCAGCTTACAAGTAGATGGCTTCAGCAGCTCCCAAAACCTCCCAGCTTCTTATATAGACGCTTCCCGGGTAAATGT